CTGTGATGCAGGTAAAGAAGTGCTTCTCTCCCACTTTAGACTATTTTTAATCCCATTCATACGCCTCAGGTACCGAAATGCCTCTGTGCGGCTCTGCAGGGAGGCACAAGCAGCTACATCTGAATCTGGATGTGAGAAGTCAGGCCTGAAGCCACCTTGGCTCTTTACAAAACACACGGCTGTCTGGAGGGGATGGGCTCCACCTGAGGTCTCCCTGTGTGAACTCGCAGCATCACTACTTGCTTCAGACCTCCTCAAGGCTTGGATCTCTTCTTGGAAGATTTGACCTTTTTCCTGCTGCTGTACTTCCTCAGTGCTGCAGAACTGGCTCACTAATGAGGGCGCTAATAAGTGGCTTTGCTTACTTCTGCTGCTAAAAGCCACAGCACAGCACATCCAGTATATTTCTGCCTATCCTTGCCCTCCCTCCTATTATCACCAGTGGCTCTAAAATAATCTGTGACCCCTTAATAACCACCCAGAGACAATAACCAATGCTGGCCGCAGCAGAATGGGAATCCTCTCCTCTCCTGCAGCTGTACTGATGTGCTCCTCTCTCCCTCCTCTCTTCCTTGCTTTTACTTGAAGCGTGGCAGGATGACATTTGCCCCACAGCTCTTTGGGACCATGGCCAAGGCTTCCAGTGAAGAACACTACATACGAAGGAGAGACCGACATCTGCACAGAGTTTTGAAAGCTCTGAATATATGAAAGCAACAGCAACATCACAGTACACACAGTGATCTGTAAACTCAGCCTCTGCCCAACTTAGGTCTCGGGAGTTCAGCCACTCTCTGAGCCTTGTTAAATTCAAGGTAACCTTAACAAAGTTTTACTTTAACAGTAAGTTCAAGGTAACGCAGTCCAAATCTGAAAGTTTTCAACCACAGCTCAAGAAACATCAGTGCTTCCCAGACTGTTTTTTGGAAGACTTTCCACCCAGCCCTGTTTCAGTCACACTGATAAGGGTCAGGGTAATGAGGCAGAAAATAAAGCAGCTACTTGGAGGATGATACTCCTTCTGTCTCCAGGCAAAAAGAACCCCAAACCGTAGAGATCCAGCTGACAGTTCTTGACCAGTGCTTGCAATACAATCCATGGACTAAACCAATCTAAGCAGGCTGTGCAGATGTAGCTAGGTGCATTCAACAATGCAGCATTTCTAAGGAAACCTGGAAGGGACTCTCACCCTTCTGAGACCAAAAGCTTTTGTACTCAAGAACAACCACCTTCCAGGGGCAAGATGCAAACTGCTCTTGCAGAAAGCTGGTCATACCCAGCTGCAAAGGTTTGTGCCCTGCTGATTCTTCCTGCAGGATGTCAATGCTAAATCCAGTGCAAACACATGCCCAGCCTGTGCCAAGTAGCTCAGCACTGCATATACAGGCATATGACAAAAACACTTCTTTCCCCCCCTGCCCCTTCATCTGAGATGCAAGGGGCAGGTGAAAAAAAAAGGGACTGGGTTGGAGGAGGGGGGGGAAAGCCTTAGAATAACCACCCAGTACTCAGCCTTTCAGGTAAAAGAATGACTGACCCTTTGTACCAAAACAAAAACATGTGCTATTCAAGCCACAGGCAAAAAAAAGAAAAAAAATATCTACTTTATTCTTTCCTGCTAGCCCAGCTCACAGCCACAGTAAGGAATAAAATAGAGTCAGGTGATAACTCTTCACTTACCGTAAGCGATGTGAAGGTCATACACATCCCACCAAAGCCATTCAGAGCCAGTGCAATGAATATCAGCACAGACAGAGCTGAAACAATAAAAAAACTGCCCTTAGCTTTTACTGGGGTGGAGAGGGAAAGGAGACAGAGCCCTGAGGGCTTTGATCCTGACACATAAAAATCTCAAGGGCTCAACACCCTCATGAAATGTCACCCTGTTCCTGACCCAGCACCCATCTCCCCAGCCACACAGAGGGGGAGAGCCAGAGTTCTCCTCCAAGACAGAGCTTAGGATGGGATCACCTCTCTCCAGGATGGAAGGGTTTCTTTTCTGTAATGAACAGACTTACTGATGCAGCTTGTCTGAATGGGTCTTAAAAGGAAGATTTACTTGAAAGAACTGGATTCAAAGTGTCAACTCACTATCTGGTCTTGAGAAGCAAGCTCCAATCTATCCCTGGTGAGAAAGCCAATTACATGTCATGTGCTATTACTTATTTCCCAACCCTGAAAAAGCCATGAACTTGTTTGGAATTGCTCCTTTACAGGACCTGGCCCTGCCCAAAAGCAAAGCTGAGAGACCTGGCTATCTCAGACATTTGGCCCTTGCTGTGCTCACCACTCAGCGTTGTGAAACACCAGCCCTCCCAGAGCCACTTAGCTCCCACGGGCCAGCAGATGCTTGCCTTGTGTCCTCTGCAAGACCCCAGTACAGCACTGGAGGTGTGACAATCTGCAGGTGTGACCGTCAGAGCACGTAGTGCCATGCACACTTGTCTGCTTCCTCCAAAAAACAACCAACCCCAAGCCACAGCCCCAAAGCCCTCCCAGCTCAGCAGAGAAATGCCTACTTACAGTCTGGGTTACTGGCACCATACGCGATCAGCACACAGGACACAGCAAAGCAGGCACTGAAAGGGAACCAAAACCACGAGTTTTACAGACGTAAGTAAATTACACATGCTTTTACCTCCTCAGCACCTCGTTAAGCAAGCGAAGTATAATTTCTGTAAGACGGAGGGAAGCTGGCGATTTGGAAAGAAAAAAAATCCAGGGAAACACCCAAATATTACAGGCAAACCTTGCACAAGGGCTGAGGCAGCAGCCTTTCCTCCCAGTACTGACGCAGCTCTTGCTGGACCCAAATTCCCTACCGGTTTCCCAGCACAGAGCTTTGCCAGCCCTCACCTCAAGAGGACCAAAGACAGCAGCAGCCTTCGTCCTGAGACCCAGCTGTGGTCACAGCACTCACGGCCTTTACCTGCTCCTCTCTGGTAGTGTCTGAGTCAGAGATTTGCCGTGTTTTTTCCCGACTCTGCCTACAGGCCAATTTGCTCTCTGGTACGGTTCAGTGCATTAAAATTCAGCAGTGCTGGGGTCCGCTGTGCCCAACAAGTCGCTAACCCCTACATGCCATGACAGAAGCAGCTAACGACCTCACTATTTGAGGCAGAAAGCAACATACACCACGTGGCAGAAAAGGGCCCTAGAAAAGGCAGGCAGGACGTGTTTATCCCCAAGTCAACTCCCCAGCTTGCAAACGATGATGTAACATCTTGGTTTTGTGCCTCTCAGGACATAGCTCCCAGCTCAAGGAAAAAGCTACCCTCCATGACTCACAAATAACTCTCTTCTTCCTCCAGGCTCCATCTGGCCAGCGAGCACAGAGCAACACTGGAGAGCTGAAGCGTGGACATGGAGTCCCAGGCCCTTCCCTTATGGAGGAATTCGTGTGCTGGCTGAAATCATCCCAGAGCTCCTCCGGTGTCTTGTGCATGGCCAGCAGCTCCCAAGGCTGCAGGGACCCTGCAACATGCACAGCACCCATCTGCCCCTGACAACGTGTGAATTGGCCCCTCAGCCCACCCGGGGAGCCCAGGACACCAACCTGCCAAGCAGCCGCAGCTTGCGAGGGCCGTACTTGTCCATGACAATCCCCAGGGGCAGTGTGATCGCACTGAGCAGGAAGGACCCAATGGTGAAGGCCAAATTCAACATTTCATCCTGGGCATTGCAGGAAGGCCATTTCTGCTCTGAAGCTGTGCTGTTCTCGTGTTCAGGGCTGCCGGTGGCGTTTCCTACACGGGATGACAGAGGATCATCGTTGCATGATGCGTTTGTTAGGATGAGGCTTGCAGCATTGCAGGAAGGAGGGAAGAGAAAAGCCCTGCACACAGGGTGCCACAACACACTAAGCACATCCTCCACACTCCATTTTTTATTATAATCGGTGAGAAATGCAGAAGGGAAAGAAGAGTAGCAGAAGTACAAGGGAAACCTGATGAGCTCAGCTGGGAGCAGGAAAAGGATGCGCAGGCACCCAGGGGACAAGTATCCCAAGCAGCAGCAACCTAAGAACAGAGATTCATTAATTTATGAAAACAACTGTACTGCAAGGCCCTGGCAATTACAGGAGACTAAACCCAGCAGAACTTGAAGGGACTAATACAAAGTAAGGTCCTCCTGATCTACAGCTAGCACGTTCTCACAGATCTTTTCCCTAACTAAACTGAGAGCAATAACTACAGTCAAATCAGTTATCTTGGGTCCAGACACAGGGCTGACAAGGCCTGGCACAGAGCAACAACCTGCTCAAACAAAAAGCTTTCTACCCTCACTGTGGGCATCGGGATGAGGAATGGCAGTAGCCATCCTGCTTCCCAACTGCCCTGGCTCCAAAAAATCCATCCTGGATTTAACTACCCTGTTTCCCGGAAGGCTGACAGCTCACCTGCCTTCTCCATTTGTTAAAGGACTGATACATCTTTAACTTCTGCCCCATAATTAGCATTTTCTATTCTTTCCAAGTGGGTTTAGGCCATACAGATCAATTATATCTCCAGCTTTCTGTTCTTGCCCTTACACGAGGAACTCTGCGTGCAAACTCCCACACTGAACAGAGCCCATGTTGTGTAACAGAGACAGAAACAGGACAGTTTAATTAAAAAAAAAAAAAGGTAAGAAGTTCCCTTTTCTTTACAGCATCAGTTTTACCGCCTCATGTCAGTTCTGCTCCTGCTACAAGCCCATCCCAAGGTGGCTTACAACTCCTCATGCAAGCACATGTGCCTTTAGACTTTCATTAACCCAGAGCTCCAAGTGTGCTCCACCTCTGCTTCTCCCAACACTTATCTGACTTAAGTAAACTTTGCTGGTATGACAAAGCACTTGCTTTCTTACTGCTGCCGCAAGCCAGTGACATAAAATGCTGTCCTCCATATTTAATAATTCATCTGACAAAGTTCAATATTAACGGAGGAATAGAGGGAGAAGTCACCTTCATAACCATCCACATGAAGCAAGACTAGAGATTCCCAGGCAGCCCTGGTTAGTTAGTTCATTAGCAGGAACCCCTGACATAGAAGTGACTTCACATTCACTGCTTGGTTCGGCTCATGGAGGAGATCCCCTTGGCTGCTCTTGCCCTCCCTGTGTCTCCGGAGATCACACAGCCCTATCTTGCAACTCCTTCCCTTCTACCCAAGCCTCAGCACCATTACAGTTACTGGTTTCACCTGGTTCTCCTAGCTGGTCAGAACAACCCTCCCAGCTTTGTGTCCACTGCAAACAAATCACGCTCCACCTTCCAGACATCAGGTATTAGCAGGAATTCAGACTCTGCTATCTGAGTCTTACAAGCCACCTGCAAACCTTCCTCTGTCCCATTCCAGCACTCCAGGGAGGGCACACGACATTTCTCTCCATTTACACTGCTCTCACCAACACCTTTACTAAGATGGTCTCAAACTGCCTGTGGGCAGCGATGATTGTTTGTTCCTTCCCTCTGCCATGTGCTCCTGATTGATAACTTAATCTATCCCTTCTCTTGCCCTGCTAGTCATGGCTAGCCAGAGTGAAGTGACAGAGATAACCCCAAAAGGCCACATGTCCCATCAGCATCCCTTCTGCAAGGAGGACAGCACTCCAGCCTGAGGGTCCCCAAGTCACATCCTTAGAAATCAGTCCTGGAGAGACTCGGGAGGCTTTCTGCAGTTTTCACACTACGTCTCAATCTTTTTCATCCATCTTTGCCTCACAATCTCCTCTTGGTGGCCCGGGATCTTAAACACTGACTGCTGACAGCATCTCCATGAGGCAGGCACACAGCTTCACCCACAGCATCAAGTTTTTTTGGGCTCTCCACAAAGAAAAATTCATAGGAAACAGATGTGGGTGAAAGGTTAAACTTGGGAAAACAAGGGGTGGGGGGAAATGGTGACAAAGTAGTAGTGGTTTCCCTGTGTCAGCACTCTACAGAGATAGCTCAGTTGTGGAGTGGAAGGGTGGAGGGACCGGGACAGTGCAGTGACCTTATAACTTCTGGCTGCACGTGTTACAAGAGCCTGTCAACCCTCCCCACAAAGAGATCTCGGAACAGAAATATTCAGCATTTAAAGCTGGAGTAGATGAATTGCTCTTAATGTACTGACGTGTGCAGTTGCAACATGACCCCAAGGAGCTCCCACAGCGTACGCCTGCTAGCAGACCCTCCAATGGCATACATGATGAGCAGCAACTCCAGGAGGCGAAGAGGACACAGCTCAAACAGCAAGGAAACTTGGCCCTCTCTGAAGACTTGCTGCAGCCGGGAAGGCTGGGAACAGGGCACCAAACTTCAGTCCCTGCTTGTACCAACCACCTTGTTTACAGCTGCTCATCGCCAGCTCCAAGGAGGGGCCAGGCAACAGCACTATGTGGAAATACAAATGGTTTGTGAAAATAGAAGCAGCCCCTGAGCAACAAGAGAAGATCCACTGAGGCGTAATGGAAATGATTCAAGCAGCCCTTGGCACCCTGACATCCTCTGATCTTTTGAGCCACCTCCATAAATAGAACATTTTGGAGGGGTTGCAGGTGCGTGCAGCATGCACAAGGTCCAGCCAAGAGCCATCTCATTGCAGAGCACAGATTTATGTGCCAGCAGGTCACCAGCACAGGAGAGCTAGCGGCAGCACATGACATGCAGTTAGGAGGAGATTAGTGGGCAGAGAACCTGCCTAACTACTCACCTACCTCATGCACCTGGTTACAGCAAAAAGCAGTTTCCCCTCAATCACAGCTCAGATCCTGTTCCAGATCAGCGCACGCCACACCGCTGGGGAAAGTCTCCTACGTGCCTGGCTCCATCTGCAACAGCGCTTTGGGGAAGGGCTGTCTCTGTGCCAACAGTGGTGCCTTCCCCAAATTCTTCTGCCAAGTCCACCTGCATGCAAGCACGCCAGGTCTGACACACAAGCGTGCCACCCAGGTAAGCCAGCAGCGCGGGCTCAGTCCGTGTATGCTCACCACTGTCAAGCTAGAAGAAGCTGCAAGTCTTTATCAGCAATTACAAGAACATACTGCCTATTTTTACAGCACTCCCCCTACAAGCAGCAGGATTTCTACTGCCCAATTAGTAGTTCAAGTTACTATTTAAAGAATGACAGCTTAGGTGAGAGGAAGGCTGCCTCGGTAATCATTTATGTCAAGCTCATCGCTGGGATTTGTTCAGGCTGTTACTGGAACATTTAAAGCCATCCTTTCTCCCAAATTAAGTGCTGTAGGTTTCATCAGAGGGTCAATCATTAACTGCTCTTTACTGACCTCTTCAAATCCCAGGCACACACCACGTTACCAGAGGAACAAGTCTGGCTTTTTCAAGAGTGGCTGCCACCTGAGATGGCAGAGGGGAGGCTTCCTTTCATCTTCTTTCATGGATCAGACTGAGCCAAGCAGGCAAGACACCCCCAGCCACCCTGGCAGTAGCTGTGGGACACGGCCAGCACAGCCTCACCTTTTTTTTTTTTTTAAAAAAAAAGAAGAAAATAAAAAGGACAGGGAGGAAAAAGGAAAAAAATCAGGGCCAAAGAGTCTGGGAGCATTGGTTAAAAAAAAAAAAATAATCACAGTGAAAGACATGTGCAAACAACTGATCTGCAGCCTGCCCACATAAGAACATGTTTTCTCTTTTCAGAATGGTGTCATACTTCTGGGAACTGGGAGGAGATGTTCTTGCTTTATACCACTGCAAATGCAATTTATTCAAGTTTCCCTCTCTGCCTGTCCATCCACTTGGGTTTCCAGGACCCCCAGCTGATAGCCTCATATAAAACTTAAGCACAGTCTCCGGTTAAACTCCCATTCTCTCCCCAGCCGCGGTTTCATTTTGCAGCAATTCTCACCCAGGGCTAGCACCTTCCCATGCAGCTCTCCGATACGACAGCTGCTAATCAACACAGCGTGTTTCCTGTAGAAATTGAACATTTACCACGTTTACTCTTTTCCTGTTTATAGGGTTACGTGTGCAGCCTTTCCACAAGCCATCATCACGTCTTACCAGCTTGGAAGGGACCTTTAGATTGCAAGTTGCCCCACCACAGACCCCAAATAAATAAAAGCAAAGAGCTGTAAGGCAGCACTTTCCTCCTATGCCCGTGTTAAGGTGCATTAACCTGCTGTAAGTGAATTAGCTTATGGTCTCTTTGGCTTTCTGCAGCCCTGTCTTAGAAGGCGGCCCTCTGTCCAACTGGCTCCTTACATCTGCTCTTTGTGAGCAGATTATCAAGTTCAAGATTTATTTTTTTTTTTAAAACACGTCTCAAATACCCAAGCCTTGAGCTTCCCAATCCCAGTAACATCACAGCAACGCAAGACCCTGAACAGATCGAGTTCCCCAACAGCTGATAATGCCTGAATCCTGATAAATACTGCGGAATCAGCACTTGCACCAAATAAAAGATGCTGTTTCAGTTGGTTAAAGGCCAAGTAGTAGCGTAGTAAAATTAAAATGGGAACAAAGTGCCACTACCAGACTCCTTGTCAGCAAATTTCAAACATACCTCTCAGGATGTGGCCAAACCTGCCGCCCAGAACGGGTACAACCCCCCCACTCAAACCCTGTTGCACAACTGCTTTAAAAATATTTGTTACTTTGATGGGGACTTGTTTCTAGGTGTCCATCTCCACCCTTACGCAACCGAGTTACAAGTCCAGCAGACCCCACAGGTCTGCACGGTGGCTGAGTAAAATCCAATACCAGAAGCCAAGGGCAGGCAGGGAAAAAGCGGAGGGGGGGGTTCAACACGAAGACAAGGAGCCCTTGATGAACTGCAGTCCCTTTCTGGGCAGCTGCTGATACCTTCAGAGAAGAGCCTGCAGAAGGGACAAGGTCTAGTTTTCTTTTTCATTGGAAGGCATCACAAAGTGCAAGAGCTTTTGCTGACAAACGAAAAGCCCTGCCAAGAACCTTTGGCTTATTAGGAAAAATCTTTTTTTGCAATACTTACATGCACACAGCAGCATTAAGAACAAGAAGTGCCCAAAGGCTACTAGTTATAATTTGTTTGCAACAACCTTCCAGCCAAGTACCCACTCAGGGTGCAGGATTCAATAGGTCAGGCCAAGAAAGGCAATCACTGGGACACCCTAATCCCAGCAAAGGTCAAATTCTGCTTGGTGCTGGTCATTCAGTGACCACTGCAGGGCAGCTGCAAGGCAGACTGCTGTCCGCACACTTCCCTACCAAATCGCTGAGATTATTACAATGAGGACAAAAACAGAGAAAGGAGAGTGAGTAAGCATGGATGAAAGAGGAAACACCAGCATAACTGGTCCTTGATGCTCATCACAAGCCATCACTGAGTTCAGCAGTGATGGCCAGATATTTGAGGACAATGAGAACATTTGACTACATAAATTTCTTTTCCAGAATTAAGTTCTTTTGCTTCAGGGCACAGATTGGTCACTGGGAGGAAGAAATTACCCCCCAGGGTAGCAATTTCCCCACAGTTCAAACATTTGCATCTTCCCTGTTGTCTGGGACATGGGCACTCCCACAGGGAGAGCCAGATAAACCACAAATTGGAAAACATAGGTGAGGCGCTAAGGTGAATCTCCCTGATTTGGGACAAAGGCAGATGAACTGAAAGCAATCAAAGCAAAGAGTAGGAGGTGGGCCCCAAGTGAAGCGGGGCTTTTGTCAGCAGGGCACAACTCAGGAAGGAGATAGGAAAACGGCTGCTTTCAGAGACAGTCAGCATTTGCTTATCAACTCTCGTGTGTTTTATCTCAGTGGCAGAAAGCCTACACCCAATAGGTTAAATGAGATCTTACACAGGCCTGTGACAAAGTCACCATGGCTTGATGAGAGGAGAGCAGCCTTGACCAGAAGTCCTGAGGGGTCTCCAGGCACTGAGAACTCCCCCTCACGCAGCCTGGAGCACTACTGGAGACCCAAGTGACAGGGACACGCTTGGAAGCATCACACTACAAGCACAGCATAGGATGGAGATTAAGCAGCCAAGCTACAGCTGGTAGAAGACTCAAACACATGCATGTTTGCCAGGGGCACCAACCCAGGCTCTGCAAGACTGAGGCAGCCACCCACAGGCACACAAAGCAGAAGAGAAGACCGTAACAAGCAACTGATGAATGAGAAAAAAAAAACCAACAAAGTATCATCACAGCTATTCACAGTTACTTTTTGCAGTTACAGTTTCCCCAAATTTCAGATTTCCCCCACTACTCTCAGCCATTACCCACTGAGGGTCCATGCACTTATTTCCAACTCCTTTTCTTCCCCTACTGCTTCCTCCTCCATCCCGCTGCTCACCAGCCCCACATGGGCTGATCCACCTTCTCATCTCATCCACCACCACACATCTCTGGACAGAGCCCAAACACCTAGCTCCTGCCTCTCTTCACTCTGCTATCCCCTTCTCTGAGCACACGCAAAACTTAGGTCACTAAAGCAGCTTTCCAAATCCATACCACACCTTTACTCTCAGGTTCCTTCTAACCACGCCGTCCATCCTACCACACTGTGGGATTCCCCACACCCCAGTTCTCTCCATGCCCAGACTAGGGATATACGTCCACCTATATGTTGTTTTTACCAGGGTTATCCTTCCCACACCACAAAATTGCCTCCTTCCCTGCAAGGCTGTATCTGCAACATGGACATTCACTTCCTCCGGCTGGGCCAGAAAATGGATCTCAGGCCCTCAGAGACACAGCATGGTTTAAGCACATCCTGGCTGTTTGAAGAGGGAGAGGAACAAAACATCACTACCGTTTACTTCTGCAACTTCTCCTCAACAGCAGCACTGTTGTCACCCTTATTGTCACCCACACTCTCTTCTTTCCTACCACTAAGGAATGCGTGCCTATAGTTTCCTCCTACAAACTCAGGACACCCTTCCCACAAATCATCTTCCAGCACCCACTGAGCCTTCCCTTGCAGAGATAAGCCAGGCCACCATGCAGAGGAAGAACTCATGACCAAGCAGAAAAGGTTGTCCAGAAAACCTTTACCTAATCTTTAAGGCTTCTTTTCCAATCACTCCGCAAAGCAACAGCAACTACAGGCACATTACACCATCACAAGGATGCCATTCGTTTTGGAAAGGAGCACACATCCCTTCCTTCTACCCCAGCCCTACTCTGACCAGTTCCACACCACCCTGAGACAGGGAACCAGCAAACCTCAGCAGCAACTTCTTCACACAAGTCTCCAGAGCATCCTTACCTGACTCGTGGCACAGGTAGGAATAAAACCCTTCTGCTTTCAGCATGATGAGGAGGGACCCCCAGCCCAGCAGGACAGCAGAGAAGAGCAGGTTCTCAATGATGGCTGTGAATGCCATCCACCAGCGCCGGCGATGGGCTGTAGCAAGCGTGGGTGCCATTGCTGCGTGGGAAGATGGCCTCGTTCAGAGTCTCAACCTGCAGGGACCAGAACAACATCCAGTGAGTCCACAGGTACAGCTTATGCTGCTCAAAGAGTGCAAAAAAAAGCATGGTTTAAGAAGAGATCTCTCTCCTGGAACGCAGGCAAACCTGCCTGCTGAATGTAAGGCACTCAAGTGTAAAACTCGTTTTTGCAGGTACCAGCTTGCCAAGTTACCCAGAGGGATGGGGGAGCACAGGTGCCCTCGGAGCAGCCCCTCCAGTGCACACACCATGCAACAGAGGAGCGTTCAAGGACTCTGTTCCACTTCCCGAGCAACAGGTATGAAAATGCAGCAAATACCAACTGCCCAGAGCCCACTCCCTCATCACCTGTACAGGGCAGCCGACCCATTTGTAAAGCAGCGAGGAAACACTTCCCAGAGCTTCAGCCAGCACCCCAATCTCCCAGCTGCTTGCAGGCAGAGGCTGGGACCGGGGAGGGAGCCCCACAGCCCTAACAGTGGCTTTAGTGACCCACCAGGTCTGCTCTGCCCCACGTAGGAGCACAGATCTGCTCATGGGTCCTATATATGCAGTTTATACCACAGCTGGCTAATCAAGGAGCACTTTTTGCTAACTGCCAGACCACCCAGCTGGGAGACAAGATGGGTCACATCCTGCCCCATCCTGGCTGTGCAGACAGCCAGGTGAACTGGCCAGGACGGCACGTGTTGCTCCACCTCAGCACACCGGCATCCCTGGGCTGCCCCACAGATGCTGCAGCCGGATTAACTGTCTCCAGCTCCACCTGTCCCAGTCCCTATGGCCCACGAGTGTCCCTATGGCCCATGAGTGCCAGATTTGGCAGCTGACCTGGCTGGCCAAGGGGCTGCTCCGGGGAGCCCTGAGGTGCACAGCACCAGGGCCAACCCTTGGTCATAAGGCAGGTGGCCATTTTAGAGAAGCTGAGCCTTTTCCCAGCCCAGAGCACAGGCCGATCAGGCACGACAGGGAAATCAGCTGGCTGCACACCACAGCCCTAGGCAGTTTCTCAGGACTCTCCATAGGGCCGAGACCCCAGCTCTGGGTTGCTTTAGTGGGGTGAGGGTCTGGCCCTGCTCCCTGCAAGGGTACCCGGAGGACAGGG